GTCGAGTATTCTTCAGGATATTTACTTCTTATATCGTATTCGATTTGTTTCTGAACTGATTATTTAGTACGCGTGTTAGCGACGACCGGAAAAAAGTCTGCGGTCGCAGGCTTTACGCTTGCATAAATACTCGAAAATTCAAGGGCCTCGATTCAGAGTTAATTACATCATTGCCCGAAATAAAAAAAAACCTCATGGACATGGCGCGTCCTTTGCGACTCATTTGCGTACAATGAAAGTTTACAACACCCAACCAGTTAGCTTCACCATCAAAGTATTCTAATTAAGATTCTTCCTTTTTAGGACTACTTAAGTGTTCACTTGTGTTACATAATCAACCTTGCGCATATATAATGCATTCACTAAAACACATGTTTCTCTACGACCGAGTTTGTATTCATAGAGAGTCAGAGGATTATTAAAAACAAGCCTTTTGACCTAATGCGTATCTTTTCATGGTGTCAGACGTGGAATTAGAAAAAAGAAGCAAATGAACACTTTCTGTTTATATGTACGACAATCCAACTGAGGAGACTGGTGTAAGTCTGCCAACTGCAGTGAACAAACGAGCGAGTGACACAACAAACACAATGGCGAGTCCCTCATTCATCGACAAGGGGCCTTCAATCGACTGGAGTACAGATGACAACTTATGTAATTGCTTCAAAATGTGGAAACAAAGATGTGAACTGTTACTCGGCCGATGACGAAAGTTGAAGAAATCAAATGTAAGCATCTAGTATACTGGCCGGGAAAACACGGAATCGAACTTTCCAACAGCTGGGACATGTCCGCGGATGGGCAAAAAAAGCTGGAAAATTAATGGATGAGATTCTAAAATTTTGTCAAGACAAACTCCAATGAGTTAATGGCAATGTAGGAGCTTCACAACCACCGACAAGGTACCCTCGCTCTGGAAGAATTTATTGCGAAACTGAGAATCCGTGCGAAGGAAGCCTACTATCCAATCGAGCACAATCATCCATTCATGAGGGACTTTTTTGTGCTAGGAATGAACTCTGACCTTTTCCGAAAGGACTGCTTCAAAGTAGGAAATGCTTTCACCTTCAAGGAAGTTCGTGATATGGCAATGTCAGAAGAGTCAGCAGACAAACAGCTTCAGCTAATGAATACCGAAGTATACGGACTAACGTGGACATTGCTAGTCAAGGTTGTTGCACTAATTGGGCACAAAAACATGTGATCACGGGATGACTGGCTTGGTTCCACAGGTTCTAGTACTGATTCAGTTGCGCCATCAATGGTCGCTTCGATTTCATGCACATTTTTCGTCTTTTGCTTTGACAGACATACCTTTGCTAAGTATCCTACTTTCTGGCAGTAGTGACATGTAGCATTCTTCGCTGGGCACTGCTCTCTAGGGTGGGGAACCCAGCCACAGTTTCTGTAGGCTTGCGGTTTACATCAGCCAGTATTAGGGGTTGGTCGCTGGTTTCCTTGGCGTTGATATCCTTTACGAACATTGATCGAGTGCGTTAGTCCTGTAAGTAGAAGACCCTTTTAGAGGTTTGCCTGGCACTGAGCCCCGAAGGAAGCAAACACGTTCCTTGTGTAAGATAGACTCGGATACAGAAACCAACATCATACCCAACTAGTCCCTGTACAACAAGCTTAGCCCTAGAATTGACAATCTACAGGAGCCCTCTATGAAGTTAACAGCATATGATGGGACTGAAACCCCAAACTTAGGATCATGCCAGGTGTACGTCAAGGTTCCCAACAACCCAAGTCGGTAGACAGGCAGAAATTGTTGATGTTAATGGCCCTGCTGTAATAGGCAATATGTCAGCACAAAATTTAAATCTTCTAAAGCTAAACTGGACGTTACTGTTGAGAGTAACAGCAAACCTGCCACTCAGTGCTTGAAACTGTATGATATACGTGGCAAACCAAACCAATTGCCATTGACAAAAGTATATCTCTAGAACGAGTAACAAGATTTGTTTACTGGTGTTGTTTGCTTCCCAGGTCCCTCATACCAAAAAGAAACCAACCCAAGCATTTCCCCAATACAACACCCCCCGAGGCAAGTCCAAGTCCAATTGCAAGGTGCCTACCAAGAAGAGCTGGAACGATTAAGGTAAGCAGATATCCTTGAACAAGTACACAATGAATACATGCCATGGGTCAGCTCTACTGTGGTTACAAGAGAGCCAAAGGGAACAATTCGCCTTTGCCTGGACTCCCGTGACCTGAACGGAGCAACTCGACGCACCCCCTACTATGTAAGAACCATAGATGATATCATACCCAAAGTCAGCGGTGCCTCCCATTTTAGCATCCTTGATTCCCTGAGCAGGTTCTGGCAAGTAAACTTAATGACGAAAGCAGCAAACTCTGCAACTCCAGTACCCCATTGGGAAAGTACAGATGGAAAAGGCTGCCATTTGGACTTATCTGCAGTGAAGATGTTCCAAAAGAGATACTTTCGTTTATGGCAAAAGTGAAAAAGGCATTATCAGCACATACTCAACGTCCTTGACACAGCAAAGGACAATAATGTACGGTTCAACCCAGACATGGTCCAGTTTAAAGTAGACCAAACATCGTTTTGGGGGTTTACGTGGACCCCGGATGGACTGGGAGCTGACGACCACAAAATTAAACCCATCAACAACATGCCCTCCCACAGAACCTTGCTGAGTTGCAGACCTTTACGGGAATAGTCAACTACCTGAACAGATTCTCCCCCATCATAGAAATCATAGAACAGGCCTCGGAACCCCTACGACAATTGATGAAGAAAGACACACCCTTTGTATGGTAACCGGAGCACCTCAGAGCCTTCCAGAATGTTAAACAAATCATCACTGAAGTACCTGTCCTAGCCTACTATGACCCAGAAAAGGACAATGTGATCCAGTCTGATGCAAGCCTAAAAGGCATCGTTGTGCCCTGATGGAGGATGGCAAGCCAGTGTGCAACTCGATCACCTACTGATACAGAATCCCGATAGAGTAACATTGAAAGACCCTAGAAAAATGTTCCAAGTCCAAATATTACATTGCAGTATGTTGCCCAGTATCCGGCCGGTACCAGTATCCCGCCACTTAAAACAAAAACTCAATTTTTGAGGCGCCCTTTTCAGATCTCGGTAAATGAAGTATTTCAAATGAATGCTTAACATTTCAGCTTTAAGATGAAAATTTTGGCGAGTTTATAGCTTTCGAAACAGTTGCAGAGGGCGCTGTTCTGTTCAGGTGAGTAAACCTTTCACGGCTAATATTTATTTACAGCTGTATTTACGTGCGCAGCAAAACTAGACGTGCTGTTTAGAAAAGGGTTGGTAATATGTGATATTTTCAGAGAAACCTTTTTTATATTTAAGAGTGAAGATACTTAGAGAAGTCGGCAGGTTCTCAGAAACTTTATTAATTCCTCTTGAAATTCAACTTTTTTGGAATTATTAACGGGGCCAGAAACATTCACTATGTTAGGTGCCCAGTATCCGGCCAGTTTTTTCTTTGCTGTACAGAATCGATGAATTAGCTGCGTGCATTATCCCGATAATATTTATTTCATATCTATAATTAAAGCTTAGAACATATGATACAATAGAAAAATGTAATTTTACTCAACTCCTTATGGAAATTTTTTTCATTTATTCAGAGGCGACTTGATTTCGTGTACACGGCTTGTTTAGCGTGACCGGAAGCGTCGGAGTTGAACCGCGAATTCTCATACTTTCCCCAGTTGTGACTGCAAGAATGGGGTTGCAACGGTCTGAGAAAATGTATCAAGGGATTTAAAGATGTAAGAAGGAGGAATTAGTGCTAGAAAAGCAGGCCAAATGTGGGGACTGAGCAAGAAGAAATCAACACTGCAGGTCAGACTAAACAGGAGAGTGACTTTTGACCGTCGGATTGAGGTCCCTTTGCCAGGTTTTTTTTTTTTTTTTGATTAACAAAAATGAGGAATAAACCGGATGGCAGATAAGCTAATTGAGCTTGCAAACCGCGTTTTTGGCTTGTCCACGGATGCGATCCTTAAATCAGTGAAAAAGTTCCTAGACAAGGGAGTAAGAACTATAATAGAAGAAGCTTATAAGTCGCTTGCCTGTCGAAATTTATGTACAATTACGGGTATTGTTGTGGCCGGATACTGGGCCAGCTGGCCGGATACTGGGCAACATAGGAGCCTGAAAATAATAATTTCGCGATGGAAACAAAGGCAAAAAAATTAAACTGTCTTTCGTCATATTGACGACTAAATAGATTTTCTCTGGGCCAAATTTCAGAACTCTTGCGACTAAGAAAGGAAAGTTATTGCAATGTTGACTAAAGTGGCACGATACTGGGCAACGTACTGTAAGAATAATATAGAACCACAATTGATATTTGGGTATATAATCACACAAAGTGGAATAGAAGAATGAGTGACGTTCAGTTACCTGTGGTTCTTTTAGGCTTTCTTGAAACAGCAGCTCCCTTGTGGCAGTAGCCAAAACAGTTACAGAAGCACCTAATTCTTGTAGATTAGAACTAATACCTTATTTTAATAAAATGGCTGGGCTCCGAGATCGACCATTAACGAAAACTGTTATGACTGCGAAGAAGTGTGAAGATTCTAAGTTGTTGGTGCAGTTTGTAACCCCTGTAGATAAAGTTGTTGACCATAGGCATAGCCTACAAATGTTGAATGCGCTACTGTTTTCGAATCGGTGATAAAATAAAGCGCATTCAAAATAAAGCCACGACACAAGAATCATCTCTGGGGTTTCCTTCTCGGTGATTATATAGCTGCAGTAATTGGCTGGTTTGACGGATTTATAACACCTGTTCACCTACTCGCAGAGCCAATGGGAAGTCACTAATGCTGTAATGGATAAAGGACCTATATTAACCCCTACTGATAAATCTAAGCCAATCAATGATTCAGTTTCTAATAACATTTCATGCAACAAGTAAAATGCTTCATGGGCCGACCTGGTGATTATTCGAGACTCAGTGTTGAGATAAGAAAATAGGTCAGACCAGCTGTCACACTCCAGGTAAAAAAAAGTTAAATGTGACACAACCAAAATTGCTAATTCGTTTCCATCTGTATCTTGTAATTAAGGCAATGGTACCATGGCGACAACACCCGCTATTACTCGCAGAGCCAATGGTTCTACGACAGCTTGAGATCGGCAGCATCTGCAACGTAGTACATTCAGATAATTCTTGCAAAAACTCTTGTTGAGCACACCGTAAATTAAAGGATTCAAAGCGCTGCTTATAGTCGCCAAAGAAAGTATATTCCACATATACCTCGGGAGGGAAGATCCAACTTTGAAAAATCGTGTCCAAAATGTCAATTGTAAAGATTGGAATCCAGCACAAATTAAAAAACACCACTATAACAAGTATGGTGCGAGCCACCTTAAGTTCTTCGACGTTTACCGTGCTTATTGGATTGCCAGGGTGATGAAGATTGCTATTGTGGTGGCGAACTGTTGTAAAGATTCTAAAGTAGCAGTAGATTATAACACAGGTTGGAATTAGCCTGTTCCAGGCTCCGAGATAGTCCGCCCGCTGAATTAAAAAAGCGCGAACACGAAAATAAGACGGGAGGAAACTGGGTAAACTGAAGAAACTGTGGAATACATTTTTTTAAGCGTCAAACAGTTCTTGCTAGCAAGAAAAAAATATACGCCAGAAGGGGTTAAACGAGTTCACTGAAAGAGTTGAGGTATTCCCCTCTGCCAGGAGAAGGATTACTTAGCGCATGTCTTAACTCGCCCACTGTTAAGAACCTCTTTTAAAGAAAACTCGACAAGGAAACCTTGTTTATTTTATGAACTAGAGTGTTTAACTGGATTTTAGCCACTGAAAAAATTATTGCGTGTAAACACACGTTAAATTTGACTTTTTTGTCGTGTTTTACTTGTGTTACTATTACTTTGCAGTAGAAAACCTAGAAAAATCATCCGTCCAAATATTACATTAAGGATTTAAAATAGAACCACAATTGATACTTGTGTATATAATACACAAAGTTTAATAGAGTAAGAAGTGATGTCAGTTACCTGTCGTTCTTATAGGTTTTCTTGAAACAGCAGCCCCCTTGTGGCAGTATCCAAATCCTTGTAGATTAAAACTAATACTTTATAAAACTGAGCTCCGAGATCGACTATTGTCAACTACCTTTAGCAATATTCAGTCCTCGTGCTCAAAGTTTTATAGCTTAGTTTTAATCAACGAGGGGTAGGTGTTTCTCGGGGACACGTAAAGTGGATTCTGCCACGAACGTCAGAGCTAGCCCAAGCTCACTATGAGAGCAACATACGGCAACAATTATAAGGCGTTGTATGATAATAACCCTATTTCTCTATAATTGAGAGGAACATGCACTTTTCCTTTTAAGATTGCATTTTGTATTTTCTTATGTTTATTTGTGTGTTGACTTCTTTTCGGGCCTCTTAGAATGCCAAGAACCCGAGAACACTACCCTTCTAAGTTAATTAATCATTCTTACAGCAAGAAAACTGTAAGACGTTGTATGAGAAATATTCTTTGCTCACTAAATTAGCAAAATTTGCATTGAATATTGCTTTGAAGCTTACATTTAGCGTCTTCTTGTTTTTCTTTGCGTTCAGGCTGCATTTCAGACCTCCTAGGCACTGTTTAATGCCCTTTTGAGAGCTGACAGTAGAGAGAAACTATATTGTCATCTTTTAATGCATGTTCACTCAGTTATGGAGAAATAGGGTAATTCTCATACAACGTCTTATAATTGTTGCCGTTATGAATAGTTTATTAGCTAAATAGGATAATGTTGTTCAGGGCTCTCATAGTGAGCTTGGGCTACCTGTGCAAACGTCAGGCAGAACAATATTAAGAGTGAGTCCATTGGTGCACCAGGCAGGTGTGCTACATGGTATCGCTTCGATTTCAATGCAACTTGGGCAGTTAAATACTCTGAAATGTCATCCGTCTCTTCGCCCGAATAGAGACAATTGCAGACACTTTTCCAGCTCTCTCGATATATTCATTCTCAAAGTTACATGCATTTTTATAGTGGCTTATGAAGTTCAGTTGGGATGAAAAACATTTTCCACTTTTGAACTTTTGAGGCAAATCGCGGTGATAAACATTAGGAAAAAACGCCTAGCGTAAAAATATTCAACTTTTAACTAGACGTTTTGTATGCTACACTTACATAAATCTCTAGAAGTAACCGTTGATTGAAGTAACAACAAAATTCAAACGCAACGGATAAGTGACTCATTAGTAGGAAAATAGAGAACGTAATGAAACTGAAAGGTGAGAGGAAAGGGGAAAATTTGCACGCAAATTAAACAATGCAAACTAAAAATTAATTAAGATAAGGCTTTTCGCTACTCTTATTTTCATTAATGGTAGTTCTTAAATCCGTAACAGCAGTGTGTGTCCTTATGATGTTTTGACGTACAGGAAATTATTATTTTATTGCTTTTAAAAAAACGGGTTGCTTTCAGTGTTAAGAACTTTTGTTTCGACGTTATGCTAACTTTTACAAATTAATGTATACTATTAATTAATACCCTGTGACTTCGACAAAGCTAAGATGTATTTGTAGCCTGTTGCCTAAAGTAAACACCGAAGCTTTAAAAATAGTTTTATGAATAGGTTAAATTTTAAGTATCAATTAGCAATCTCTCACCTTTATTATGTTACTTTGAATTTCTAAGCGCTTTGTTAGTTAGTATGTTTTTTAAAATAACTTAGTCTCCACCACTGTAACTTTTGATATGTATTTTTATCAAATGAATAAAGACATTATAATCACAATTCTACCTGGAGTTTTGAAAACCGGGTTAATTTGCTAAAAGCCGTGATGCTTTTAGTGTAAAAAAAAGAATATGAAAGAGAAAATTACCAATTCATAATCCAAAATTAGGCTTCCGTAAGCATCAATTTTTTTTAAGCAGATGTCTTTATTGGCAACTATTAAAACGACGTGAAGCAACGGTTACTGGAGAGTACGATCCCGAAAGTCACTGTGAAAACTTAGTTCGAGCCGAACACAAAGACTTGGTTATGTTGTTGAAGGAATCACGTAGTCCCCGTCAAAGCTCCTCCTCCTACAATAGTGTCAATTAGGCCTAACAATTTTTCAATGCTTATGTCGGTTGTTTGTAAGTTCAAATATAATACTCAGGAGACCATTACTTGGCTCCGAAGGAGTGCTTTTTTATTTATTTATTTATTTATTTATTTAATTCATTACACCGGTAGTGCCCACTACCTGCAGCGTAGCACCTTCAAACAATTCTCACGAAAGCTCTTGTTTGCCTTGTTTATCACGTCGCATAAAGTGGCCAGAAATGCTTATGCCATGGAAACCTAAGGAGGGAAGATCCATCTTTAGAAAGTGGTCCAACACAGATTAAAAATACCACTGTGACGAATACATTGCGCGCCACCTTAACTTCTACGCTTTATGCGCTTATTGGATTACCAGGGATATGATAACTGTTATGACTGCGAAGGGTTTTGAAGATTCTAAGTTAAAAATAAAAGATGATGCAGTTTGGAAACTCTGTAGATAAAGTTGTTGACCATAGGCCATAAATGTGCTGTTTTCGATTGGAAGATAATATAAAGCGCATATGAAATAAAGCCACCACACAAGAATCATCTCCAGGGGTTCCTTCTCGGTGATTATATAGCGGCAGTAATTGGCTGGTTTGACGAATCTATAACACCTAATCACCGTCATTAAGGCCAATGACCGTTTCCACACTAGAGAGGATCATCCGTCTCAGACAGGTTATCCGTTATCGTTATTTTAAACGAATAATCGCTCTGACTCTATCTGTCTGTTGGTCCGTCAATTTTGACGTGTTTTCAACAAAAAATTCGTCTCATGTGTGAAAACGGCCAATGTGTGAATCGAGGTAGCAACCAACGTAATGCTCATGTATATTAGCAACATTCATTTCGGGTACAATGGCATATTACTAATCCCCCTGGCCAACCCTGATTATATATTTGACAATTATTCCACCAGTGCGCGTTGGATATGAGATGGTAGATGGCCAACGCGTATAAAGCGCTGAGTGGGCTCATATCCAACGAGAGCGAGTGGAATAATTGTTTTATTAAAAACGTAAACAAAATATCAAGAAATCTTCCCGACTTTATTTGTAAAAGCAACCGATTATTAGCTCGTTTTTAATTTTAAGCAGACGCATACAGTTACCATATTTGGAGAGCATGGTATAATGGCCCCGCGAAAACCAAAATTTCTAAATTCCAATTCGATCCGGAATGCTCGAGCGTTTTAATGCATGAGCCCCTGGCTCGGGAGATTGGGCAACCACTCCTCACGCTATCGAGCTTAAATAAAATTAATTTAATTTTTAATTTATACTATGATGGCTAAGCCAATCATAGCTCTAGAATTGCATTATCCAATGATTTAGTTTTTAATAACATTTTTCTGCAACAAACAGAATGCCTCATGGGCCGACTTGGTAATTATTCGAGACTCAATGTTGAGATAAGAAAATAGGTCACGCCAGTTGTCACACTGCAGGTAAGGAGAGTTCAATGTGACACAACCTAAATTGCTAATTCGTTTCCAGCAGTATCTTTTAATTAACGCAATGGTCCCATGGCGACAACACTCGCTCTTACTCGCAGAGCCAATGGTTCTACAACAGCTTGAGATCGGCAGCATCTGCAACGTAGTACCATCAGGTAATTCTTGCGAAAACTCTTGTTGAGCACGCCGTAAATTAAAGGATTCAAAGCGCTGCTTATAGTGGCCAAAAAGGTATATGCCAAGTAAGCCTCGGGAGGGAAGGTCCACTTTTGGTGAACCGTGTCCACAAGGTCAATTGTTAAGACTGGAATCCAACACAGATTAAAAAGCACCACTACTACGAATATGGTGAGAGCCACCTTAACTTCTTCTACGTTTACCGTGCTTATTGGATTGCCAGGAAAATTGTTATTGTGGTGGCGAACTGTTATGAAGATTCTAAAGTAGCAGTAGATTATAACACCTGTAAGAAACCCTACGTAAAGCCGAAAACCATAGGCCAGAAATGCGTTGCTTTCGATTGGAAAAGAACAGAAGAACTTAGAGGGATGAAAGATCATTTTTTTCCCTCTTAGCAAGTGAATTAGTGGAAAACAAATAGAATAGAGCCATATCACAAAAATCATAGTTAGGGTTTTCTTCTTAGTGAAGTAAAGGCGGTACTTTGTCGATTTGACGATTCTAAAATATCTGTTCAGCGCCATTAACACCAGTGTCTGAATCGATGCAACAACCATCGTAATAATAATGAAACCTTGAAATTGACAGATCGTGTCATTAAAAGGCCAATGAGAAGTCACTAATGTAGGGATGCCTAAAGCACCTACACTGAAAACTCCTAGTAATAAGTCGGAGACGGCGAGTGATGCCACGAACATGTTTGGAATTGTTCGCATTCGTCGGTTTAACAACAGAACCAGGAGTGTTAAGGAGTTTCCAACAAACAGGAACAACAAAATAAGCATGAATAAACCTGATTCCAGAATAACTTTGGTCTTGCTTCTGGATTTAAACTCTCTTAACATTTCTGCCAGCTGGCTCTTCATGGAATCCATTTTTTTTCTTTCGTAGCGTCAACTGTTCCTGCTAGATAAAATATACGGAGAGGGTTAAAAAATATCATAAAAGAGGTATTCTGCCCGGGGGAAAGGGGGCGCATCCCAAAATTATTTACAGCAGACTTCCAAACTAGGCGCACTGTGGATACTCTCTTGAAAGGAAAACTCAGGAAAATGAAAAAGCTCGGTTTTGTATTTTAGACTTGTCACGATTGTACTGCGCATAGGCGAGAGTAGTCAAGAGTGGCCAGATTGGAAACAGCATTTCAAGCGGTTCAGGTGCGCTATTAAATTCAACGCCAAAGGTGAAGTTCTTCAGATAAATGCCCTTATTTACACCATGGATAAAAATGCGGAACAAATATTTAAAAGGCTGTCTCAGTAAAAACCTCCCACTCCATTTCGCGTGAAAATAATTTTGCCTGAAACTGTGGCAAGTGAAAGCTTTCATCGAGACTATAACTTAACAAGAACGCTCTTAACACGGACGATAAGTCTTGCTTGCTTGGAGATTATATAAGACATGAGGAGGCGATTAATGCTACACGAAACAGGATTTACTCTGTTTTTCACTTCCTACTTTATCGACGGTCGAGTATTCTTCAGGATTTTTACTTTTTATATCGTATTCGACGATTTGTTTCCGAACTGATTATTTAGTACGCGTGTTAGCGACGACCGGAAATACGTCTGCAGTCGCAGGCTATACGCTTGTATAAATACACGAAAATTCAATGGCCTCGATTCGAGAGATAATTGCATCATTGCCAGAGATAAAAAAAAAGGTCATGGACATGGCGCGTTCTTTCAATCATCTCTGAAAATAAACCGCATGCTCATCGCAAGACTCCTCTGCATACAATGAAAGTTTAAAACACCCGACCAGTTAGCTTCACCATCGAAGTTTTCTAATTAAGATTCTTCTTTTTTTCGACTACCTAAGTGCTTACTTGTGTTACATAATCAACCTTGCGCATGCGACTAAAACACATGTTTCTCTACGACCGAGCTTGTATTCATAGAGTCGGAGGATTATTAAAAGCAAGTGTTTTGACCTAATGCGTATCTTTTCATGGTGTCAGACGTGGGATTAGAAAAAGAAGAAAATAAACTCTCTCTGTTTATATCAGTACGACAATCCAACTGAGGAACTTCAGTGAAGGAACGAGCGAGTGACACAACATACAAAATGGCGAGTCCCTCATTCATCGACAGGGGCCTTCAGTCGACTGGAGCACAGATAACAACTTATATAATTGCTCCAAAATGTGGAAACGAAGATGTGAACTGTCACCCTGCAGATGGGAAAAGTTGAAGAAGAAATCAAATGCAAGCATCTGTTATACTCGTCGGGAAGCGAACTTTTCAACAGCTGGGACATGTCTGCGGATGACCTAGAAAAGCTGGACAATTACTAGATGAGATTCGAAAATTTGTCAAGCCACACTTCAACCAGTTAATAGCAATGTAGGAGCTTCACCACTACCGACAAGGAACCCTCTCTCTGGAATACTATATTGCAAAACTGAGAATCCCTGTGAAGGAGGCCAACTATCTGATCGAGCACAATGATCGATCCATGAGGGATTTCGTTGTGCTAAGAATGAACTCTGACCGTTTTCAAAAGGACTGCTTCAAAGTAGGAAATGTTTTCACCTTCAAGGACGTTCGTGATATGGCAAAGTCAGAAGAGTCGGCAGACAAACAGCTTCAGCTAATGAATACCCAAGTATACTCGATCAATGTTCCTAAAGGATATCAACGGCAAGGAAACCAGCGACCAACTACTTATACTGGCTCAAGTAGACCGAAAGCCCGCAAAAAGAGTGGCTGGGGTCCCCACCCTCGAGAGCAGTGCCCAGCGGAGAATGCTACATGTCACTACTTCCAGAAAGTAGGAAACTTAGCAAAGGTATGTCTGTCAACGCAAAAGAAGAGAAATGTGCATGAAATCGAAGCGACCAGGGCTGGCCCAAGTGAATCAGTACCAGACTCTAGCCAGTCATCCTGTGATGACATGTTTTTGGCCCCAATTAGTGCAACACCCTTGACCAGTAATTAGTACGTTAATTTTTATTAGGTTTGCTATTGTAAGCACTTCAAATGGCCCTCCATTTCTCAACTCTTGTGTAAATCTCCTCCACTCGAACGTTTTTGCTGGCCAAAGTTCAACATTTCCAACCATTAAGCCAATCAAAATTTATACGTTCAGAATATTGTATACCTGCCAACTCTCACACATTATGCACGAGTCCTACGTCTGTGGACTAAAGACATCGAACTAACGCATCAAGGACAATTCCTCACACCTGATTCACAAATCCGGACAAATTGTTCTTTGACACATGATAAAAAAGGAAACCTCAATCTTAAAAGGCGTTAACTGATGACTTGGTGTCGTTTTTATGTTCTAACGAAATCAAAGCACGCTAAAATTGTCGTCTTTTAAGTAGCTTCGGAAGTGCTCAAATTTCTTCGAAATACGTGCGGACATTTTGGGCACCGTTCGGAAGTCTTTGGAAAGTCGTCGGAAATCTTCGGAAGTAGCCGAGACGTTTCCGGAAATCCCGCCGGTCATGAGGTGAAAATCTAACGTATTTGACTCAGAAAAAGCTGGCAGGTAATATTGGGACGTAGATCATGAGAAAATCCGTATCTGAATCGTTTCGGTAAAAACTTGCAATTGCTTTTGTTACGCCCTCAGTAGCAGCAATCGTATGTTAGCATGTTCTCAGAGGAGCGTAAATTTGAGCAGATAGTATATGACACACATGATTTTACAGTAAATCATTAACAAAATATGACACTGCTAAAATTACCCATAAAAACGCACATTTGATCGCATTGTCTGACGAGAAGTGTGAAGCGATGCCAAGGCCTTAAAAACGGGTTTTATAGAAAATAATGGACAATCAGTTCCTTTGTCAGTTGTCAGTAAAACCCAAGGCAATTGTCAGTTGTGAGTTAACCCCATCCAAATCCTCTTGGAGGAAATGCTCCCTTAAACGATTTTGGAAGAACAAGTCCCAGTAACGAGAAATACTGCTGCAGGTAAAATAGGTAATGGCGTCATTTCGTTGCTATGACAACTCAGACGACATTGCAACCCCAACCATAACAAATTTTCATCTTTATCTAATACAACCGTGGTAACAATTTTTCCAAATCTTTGTTTATGGCGACGTAGTTTATGCTCAAACTTGGTGGATATTGACTCTGAAAAACTGGATCGAACCTCCTTAGCCTCTCCTAAGCTTTCTTCGCAAAACATACCTAGCTTCGGTCACGCAACGACTCTATTACCAGTTTCCTTGGTCTCCGCTAAGAACGCCTGGGACTACAACTCCCCTTCTGTGTACTAATACGAAGACAAAAATGGCTTGCAGTTTATGAGTCTCGCTACTACGCAAGCGAGACTAAATAGGTTTGCTTTGATTCACAATAATTCTCGGGCTGCACTTGGGGCCCTGAGTATTAATTTTTGTCTCGCCACGGCCAGTTTGCGCGTCTGAAAATGGAAAATAGGGCATTTTTTACGGCGCTGTAAAATGTTTGATTTGCACCATCTGCCAATGAATTTTATATCTATTAACAGGTAAAAACCTATAGTTTTTCGCTGAAAAAACAAAATCAAGCAAAATATGACCCCAACTTATCGTCTTGAAGCGAAAGGCTAAAAATTACCCGGGTTTCTAAAAGCTTATTTCTGACGTTTGGGTCCTAGTTGAAAGCTCTAGATCTGATAAACGAAAAGATGGATCACCTGTTATTAAGAACATACAAAAACCCATATACGATTTCAGTATTTTAAAAGGTATGATCGTATCAACGCATATGCGAGCTTATTCGATATTTTTAGCTCTAGCGTAACGGATCCATTTCAAGCTGATTTTGTCAAAAGCACGGCTTATCTAACGCATTACTGGCACTGACTCACAAATTGAGCTATATTACAATCCCAGAGATGCCAGATTCCATAAAATTCCGGTGAATGTACTTTAAAAACTGCTGGTATGTGCCCAGATTTGAATTCCATGCTGACAATCCAAATCTCAAAACAGGTGAAACTGTGTCATGTTTCGAGCTAAATAGCCCGGTAAAACAACTGTCTAGACATGAGCGTTTGCTAGAGAATCAGAAAATTAACTAAGCAGGTTTTATTTTCGGTCAGAAAATTGAGATGTAAGAACTACAACCTCGAGTAAACCTTCCATTCAATCGGCTGCAGGTTGACTCGTAAACCGGAAATGTGAAAAACCGGAAATCCGGATCATCCGGAAATCGGTAAATCTGAAATCGATCAGAAACCGAGGCCAATTTCCAAAAACAGAGATAGCTGCATTCGTTTAGGGATTCTTCTCGACGCTGAGACGCGTAAAAGATGGAACCTTCCAAATACGCAAACCGTCGGTTGATTCGGCAAATAGGCTCCATAAGAAACAGTAACTGTCATTTACCGGTCACAAACATGAGATGTGCTGTAGCATATCACACTTGTAACTAATACTTCACATAAGTTAGATCGAAACTGACTGTGGCGAGATCTATTAGACCGAGCCAGCTCGGTTGTCAACATGAAGGCACTTGGAAATCGCTCGGTTTCCTAGATCTCGCCACAGTCAGTTTCGAAATATAGCTAACTTATTGGTCGCAAGTGTGACATGTTAGCGCACATTGCATGTTTGTGATCGGTCAATGGCATTTACTGTTTATTATTGAGCCTATTTGTAAAACGCAATCGATTTTGTAGCCTGGCGGCATAGCATTCATGATTTTTTTTTTCAACAAAATACGACTGTAAAAAGACAAGAGGAAAGTCTACCATCTACGGCCCCAAATTCCAATCGGCGATAAAACCTTTCAGCTGTACAAAATCGCGCGATTTTAGTTAATTGAGAATCTGAAAAGAGATGAAAATGGGTGGCTGAGGACCGTTCACATACTAATATACTGGGACGTTACTGCTGAGAAAATAAGGCACACGAAGGCTAATCACTAAATTTAGACGGGTTCTTTTTCAACGGGTGGCTCTCCAAGAAAAAAACTTGCTGGAACTTTTTCATTGAAACTCCTGCATTTCATCCACGCCTCTCCAAGTTGAAAAGATGTTTTCGCAGAGAAATCGTAAACTCAAGATGAAACTTAAGACTTAAGATTTTTATTTGAAGGGATGAGAACATCCACAAATTTAGAGTTAATGGAGGTGATCACATTTGTGGAATTCGCCTAACCAAAACAATGCAATGTCCGCTTACAGTCCAGAGGATTTTGCGCAAAAAGTGCTATACTTATATATGAAAGTGAAAAAGAAACCTGCAAAAATTAAATTCTTTACCGGTCTCGGGAGATTTTGCTATCTAAACTTTCCTTGTGTCAGAATAAATATTACTTTAATCTTTATGAGTTCCTCAAGCGAAGAATTCACGCATTAGTAGGAAAACTCGAAAACAGATGTTTCTGTTGGTTTCCGGCGGCCATATTGGTGTCCATGTAATAAACCGTGTAGCATTTTGTTAATGAAAGAGTTGTCGCAATTTGAAACAACTGCCCTGTCACAAATTTGTAATAAAAATTGCGCTTTGTAATATTCTTCTTGAGAGTAATTCAACTTACCTGTTTAACGTTAACATCTTGTCTTTGGTACTAGGGAATCACGTATTAAAATCAGTAAAACTCTTGCTAAATGATAAAAAATTTCTTCTTGACGGAATTTCGTAGTCCTGCAACATTTTCTAAAGATTTAAATAACTTGGATAATTGAAAACCAGACACCCTGTGATGCTTTTAATTACTTAAAACCAAAAATTACGATATGGATATTTTTTTTAAAAAATATCCATATCGTAATTTTTGGTTTTAAGTAATTAAAATTATACAAATGGACGCCTCGCTTTTAGCCTTGGCCAGATCTATATATTGCAAAATTGCCGAACTTTTATAATCATAAGTTTTTTAATTATGAAATTGACGAACTCTTAATTAATCTTTTTTCAGGAGTCAAAAAAATTCGGGTAAACAAAACAAGCCTCTTATTACCAAAACTCAAGTGATAAGGGACTAAAACCATACTTTCAGTAGTTTCTTTCCGTAGTGCAGCAACATTTTTTATAAAGATTTAAATAACTTGGCTTATTGAAAACCTGTCACTCTGTGTGATGTCTTTAACAAAATCATATCATAAGGCATTATAGCCACGTACTGCATCCATCATTAGTAATTAGTAATTTATTCAAGCGTTTTAGACTTGCCATCACATTCGCAAGGGAAGTTTACCACTTGGTAATAAAGATGAAGACAAATATGACAATCGTCTTATTCTTCTCATTATCCCCAACAGCAATCTGCCGGTGCGAATGTGATGGTAAGTCTTAAAAGCGTGAATAAATTACCAAATATGAAGGGTTCATTACAGCTGAAAAATGGATGGTTAGAACTACTGGCGTTGGTGGCCTTATTTCTCTAAAAACTCTTGAGAGTTTTTCGTAGATACTATATTTTGCTTTGTTAAGATTTGTTTTCAAAAGAGAGGGACAAATACAAAGTAAGTTTGAATAGAAGTTCTTTAATATTACTGTGCGCACTCAGTTAAAATTGTTCTTCTTAAAGTGCTAACTGTATTCGCCGTAGGTTTCTGATTACTCTGTTTTTTGCAATAAAGGTTCAGGTAGGAATATCCTTTCGGATAGGAGATAGCCTGTCGGCACACTACCTCTATTCGTGTGTCAACTTTCACAAACGTGTTAGCGTAGCATTTTCAGGTTAAATTTGATCAGAATTTTGTTCAGCGAGTTCTACGGTCACGATTGCCTCCAAACTTACAGATGTAAAACTAGAGAGCTCTGAGGCTTATTTGCTGAAGTTAGGGAAAAATCTGTCGTGGGATTTCGAAGTTATTTACATTTTTCGTAAAAATGCGGTTTTTAATATATGCCGATATCTCAAAGGCTTTTATACCTACCAAAAATAAAAAACATTTTCTTAAAGTTCCATTATTATTTATTACAGATGTCAAAAATCATAGAAATGGGTTGAATCTTTCATTCTGAAAATCACTAATCAAAAACATAACCAACATGCAGATAAATAGGAACGGGCCATTAATTAAACACGAACAAGGCAACATGTCAAAAAATGTTTCATGTCAGTCTTGACAGAGATCAACGTCATAATTGAAAAGCGAATCTCAAAACAAGAGAATCTCATATCTAAAGTTCATTACAACAGGGCGATAAAATTATTTCAAATTGCGACAGCTCAGTTTATTGCAAAGTGCAATGGATAGTTCATACATATTGCTACAGCTAGTTCTTTATTACAAAGTGCGACACGGCTTATTACAAATTGCTACAGATGTTACAAAGAGTTATGATTTTTACAGCTGAAGAAAAAAGCGTTTCGACTTAAACAAATTTCTCTCTCTATCTTTTAAAGACAAACTATACAAAGCCAGCATGGTATAACTGGTCTCGCCGAACTAATTTTATTCATAAAACACACCATTTATCCATCTTATCCATGTGGATTCGATACACCGATTCAGCCTAAGACCGGAAGTTGCATGAAAGCGAGGCCTAAGGGCTATCTTTCGAGCGAATCTCAAAAATCATGGCGGAAAACACCGACACTTTGCATGGAAGTCATGAAATGTGTTCTGAAGTAAACCTTACACCAGAAGACATTCCATGTTCATCCGTGAAAAATGGAGAAGACATAAGCAAATGGACAATTCCACAGTTGAAATTTTGGTTGAAATGGAGAAAACTGAACCAACAGGGACTGAAGAAAGATCTTGTCGAAAAGTAAGTTTCGCAGCACCTGTATTACATAAACACTGTTATCTAACCTTCCACGCTAGTCAAAAGAATTTCGTTTTCGCTAAAAGCTTTTCTTTTCTGCTTTTAATTTGAGATTTCTTTCTTTTCTGGGACAGGGTTAAGGCATTAAACGCGATTCTTTACTACAGAGAGAAAGTTTACGACCCTGATCCTGAGAGGAGCTACACGAAAGCTTAAGACCCTTAATATCGAAACAGTCCAGACTGAGCTGATCGACCAACAAGTAAGCTTGTGTAGTTCGATTTTAGATACTTTCCCACCGGATGAAAACACTCAATTTTCAGAAGACTTTTCTGTTTTGCCCCCATTTGTGCTTATGGATGCTTTTGAGCAGGTAAAAAATTCCGGTAAATCCATGAAGAAATTTACCAACGCAACAGTTGTTATAAACTCAAATGACAAAGGCCTCCGTATGGTCAATTTTGTGCATGATTTGCAGGTGTATAATAACATGGAAAATAACATCATATACGTCCGTGCTTGCTGTTGGGCTTCCTATAAGATGAATGTTAAATACAAGGTGAAAATGGTTTGTAAACAAAGCGGGACCCCAAAGATTCTAGCATCAAAGTGTGGTAGGCAGTGTCCGGCTTGCAACAGTGGGTGTTGTTGTCATGTTATGGCGCTCATAAGGAAACTTGAGGACACGACGAGAAAGTCAGAGCTAAAAAATATCACTCCTGACAACAGATGCTGCACATCAAAACCGAGGGAATGGGGAAAAGGGTGTAGACGAGAAATAGAGTTCTCTCCAGTGATGGCTTTAAAAATAACAAAACCAAGACATGCGTCTGACTTACCTGGTAGGAAGAAAAGGAGTATTGACTCTCAGTTTTACGACCCCAGACCATTGAAATCACAGAAGCTTGATGCTGATGGAATTGTAAAGCTGAGGCAAGATCTTCAGAAAATAAATGCTCGTATACCCTTTGCTGCTATGTTACCAGAGGAAAAGACAATTCAAACAGTAATGACTATAGTTGGCACTGTTGCTAAAGGTTCAACAATTCATAAGCAACTTCAAGATTATTCCCGGCAGCCTCCAAATTTGGTAGTACCCTATGTTAGTAGTTCCTCCCTTGCGGGTAGAGAAAATGTGAATCCTGTCTCAAATGGGCAAGCACTGAATTCAAATTCAAGTTTGAATCATGAAATCTCTGCTCCACCCTCCACTGTGCAGTGTGAATCAGAAATGGCACCCCTTAGCACTCCTTCTAATGATTATGATGAGCTACAGCTTCAGCAGATATCAGATTGTAATGTTAATAACCAACAGCAAGAACAGAATATTTTAAGTTTAATTGAAAGTACAATTGATCCATCTGAAGTACAACTGCCAACAGTCCAAACAGAAACATTATTTATTGAAACTCTTACAGAAAAGCAAAAGCAAATTGAAATGACAACAAGAGGACAATCAACGAATCCTGCTTGGTTTGAACAAAAGCAAAACAGAATAACTGCCAGTAACTGTAAAGATGTCTTTTCTCACAAGCAAAAACAGGTGTCAAAATTACCAGAAAATCTAGTTTAAAAAAATACAGAAAAAGGAGCACCCCAAAAAATGGTCAGCTATTCACAAGCTAAACATCTTAATTATAAAAGTAAAGGATTGATCTTTGGTATTGAAAATGAACCTGTGGCAGCTGATTTGTACAAAGAATATCTTTTGTCATTGCCAGACATCAAGGAAGTGACAGTTCAAGAGATTGGATTAATTTTAGACAAACAAAATTATGTTCTTGAAGCAAGCCCTGACAGAATTGCAACAAAAGTATATGCCAATGGTGACATTGAATACAGAAATGTGGAAACAAAATGTTTAGAGTCCAAGCAGGATATGTCACCAGAGACTGCAATAAATAATCATCAAAAGGAAAGCAGTTTCCCAGTTATGGAACTGAACTCTGTCTTTGTAGTAAAAGAAAAGCACAAATATTGGTTTCAGTCCCAGATGCAAATGGCGGTCAGTGGAATTCCATTAACTGACTTTGTCATATTTACAAACAACATATTTCCAGTTTTGGTTTTCAAGGTCACATCATCGTCTAGGTGGGAGGATGAAATTAAGCCTAGTTTAATTGTTTTTCACAAGAAATATATCTCAAAATAAAAACAGTTGTTTTTTTTAGAACGCAAAGCAACACTATTAGTTTCTTGGAAACTGATATAAGTCTGATAAAATGTCTGCATAAAAGCTTTAGTATGTTCTAAAGCACAAGGAATGGTATTCAAGTTATACTTTACAAGTGATGGGATGGTGGTGGTAGGGAAGGTGAAACTAGATATTTTTGTGTATTGTTTTTGAAAATTTTGACTGCTAATTTTTTAGGATTTGTCTTACAGATAGACTTTTAGTTTTGAAAAAAAAAAAGACAAATTTTGGTTTTATTTTCTATATTATATCACCATCATCATTACGATAACAAATATATTTTCTTCAATCACAGTCAGTCTCCATCAGTTTTAAATCTGAGTACACAAACTACCCATGCGCATTTGACAGAATAATATTATTTTTGCATTCACTTTTTCACATATCAAGTCCTCCAATTATTGAAAAAACCCAAACCAGAGACTTATACAAAGTAACAAGACCCTAACAGCTTCAGAATCTTTAGTTTAACATTCAATTCCTCAAAAACATATACTTGTTAGTTCCCTGATATAAGAACCCATCCCTTCCAAAAAACTGAAAGCTTCCTTTCTTTAAACTGAAATAATTGGATATTGAAAATTTACTAGCAAAGCACATACAGTTCAGATCTGATTTATGGACCCAAAGCTGGAAAGAGACAGAACTTGACTGAAAATATGCCAAGCCTTGATTCACTTAATTGCTCTTTCAACATGAATACGCACATTTGCTATACTCATGATCTTGAAACACTGGCTTTGCGTTAGCCTGAGTATCAGGCCTTCCTAAGGGGCTAGGGGAGAGGAGATTTTAGATGGGGGAGGGGGAGTGGGAGAAGCGAAAGGAAGGCCTGACACAAAACCATTCAGCAAACCGTGTGACACATCCAAAATCTGGATGTGGCAGTGATTGGATAACACACAATACCCCCTGACGTCACCGACCGCAAGAGCGATCGGCAAGAAGCAATTGACATTTTTCATAGATGTTTTGATTTCATGTTACCGGTATGTGATACTTTTATGGACAGAGGGGACGCAGAGAGGAATTCAAAACGGCTCTAGAGGGCGCTCTCAAGTTCTTTCCTGGAATAAAAATAAAATCCGAGCAAGAATTGTGTTTTCAAGGCCTCGTAGTTTAAAGGAAAGATGTACTCGGAGTATGGAAAAGCCTCATATACCAGCTTCTGCCGAAACTATGTCTGAGTATTGGTTTCAAAAGACCGGGACAAAGACGACGATATCAGTGTTTCAGATATCTAAGTTCTGATTTACAACATCCTGCCGTTAAAAGGGGATTGTTACTGTAACTGAAAATAGAGCGAGGTAGCCATGTATTGAGATAGCCGACAGCACCAATGCTTTTAAAAAGCTTGACTTTGCTTGTGGCGGTTACGATAGCGTACGTGATTGGAATTCGTTCGCTTCCTCTTCCAAAATTCTCTCACTTTTGAAATGTCTTAAGCTCAAGCGGGCGCCATCATATTTCGCCAACGGGATTGACCTTTGCTATAGGCTCTCACTTTTTTAAAACTTGTAACAGCTTTCACGAGCTCTCCGTGAAGTGGTGGAATTTGCTGCTGCTTGATAATTTCTAGGCATAGGTGTTTCACCATCGCACCTTCCTATTTATTCTTGCAGCTCCTTTCCACCGCCCGAGGATACGAGGGATAACATCAGCTTTTTAGCTGCCAGACAAGCGCCTGATGTAACTCTGTAAACAAAAGCAATTTACAATTTTCTGGGGCACGTTTATTTACGAACGAGAGCGTTGGCGATCTTACACTAACACAATTTTTAAGACATGTTATAATTCCTGTAATGTTTTACATTACAAGTATTCAAAAACTCCTCATTGGAGGTTTAAAAAAAAAAAAAAGAAATCGTAGCAACACAAGCACCGGAGCTCGGCCAAACCGTTGAGTGAGATTTATTTTAGGCGAGCTTTTTGACACGTGAGGCTGACAACCCAATGACCGGAAGTGATTTTGATTGGATGGTATCGAATCATGCTGTGTGGGGGTGGAAGGCTCCGGTAAAAGCATCTGTGTCAGGCGTTTCTCTCCTTCACCTCTCTCCCTTTTTCGCTTCCATCTTACCCCTTTTCCCCAGAAACGCCTGATACTCAGGCTAGCTTTGCGTGAACTGTTCATTGGCAGAAAATCTCTTTGGAGGAATATATAAACTTGCTCCTCTGAGGGCCATTAGGTCATGGATCCCAAAGCCCTTGTCTGCAAGGTACTGGTCCCCCATTTCAATTAACTGACAGAAGTTACTCTTCTCCACAATTTCCTTATCACTTATTCTTCCTGGATACAACTGACTAACAAATATTATCCATCCACTCTGTGAAATGTAGATGAGCCCTTTAAATGTGTCGTGAGATTTATAATCTGAGTACATTTCTGAGTGCTTCTGATAATCCTTGGGCAACTCACATTTCAGCTCTGTGCAATCAAGAATTCCATGTACGTTTTCATACCCTCCTTTAAAAGAATCTGGCAAGTGTTGTTTTATTTTGTCTCTTGAAGGCCATAAAGGCAAACTTCCCAACATTATGTAAAGGTAATTTGCCCAAATAATAAAAACATCAGACACGGTACTTACAGAAACACTAAATCTATGTGCTAAGTCACGCTCGAATAAGCCAAGACGCACCCTTGTTAGAAACAACCACGGCTGATCGATGGGCTCTATTTCTCTCTTTCTATTTCTTTTTTTTCTCCTGTCCTTGCAAAAAAGGAAATAGATTAGCATTGTTTGAGGAGCTTTCTTTCACTTTTTCGCGTGCTGTGTTCCACGACATCAGAGACCCAGAGCAAGGTTTAATAAAGTTCCAAAATGCCATCAAAGCTCGGTAACTCTGAAATCCTGTGTAGAAAAATATGTCATCATCATTCGATCCAAACCTCTCCAAACCAAATTTTGAAAGAAGCAGCTTTTGTTTAAGATCATAATTCTCGGCAACCAAATCTCTCTCTTCTTCGAATGGTTTTTCACCTGAATCTTCGTCTTGAGTCCTTTGCATAGATGTCAGGTGCATCGTATGAGTGATGTTTATTTTCCATACTCTTGGATGGGATCGCAGAAAGTTTAATCCTTTAGCATTCCCGACTTTTGGCTCTTTCGGACCTTTCAGAGGCTTTGTCATTGCCAACTAGTCAGGAGGCAGCTCGCCAAAAAACGATTTTCGCTAAACATTTTGAGTAGAAGCAGGCAACATAGCTTAAAATCTTCGTCTTGCCTTCCTGATTAAGAATTGTGCTGTTGCCCACTCCAAATGTTATGATATCTGTCATTAAGCGGGTTTTTTGTCTAGGCCCTCACTCCTGCAGCATGAAAACGAGGCTAAACTGTAACATTTTTTAAACCCAATAAAAAGTGCACAATACGATGGGGAAATAACTGAATCTTTGCTACTTGACGTTTAGAGCTCGATAGACAGAAGTGTGGGAGACAAAATGCGTCACGTGATCAATTATAAAGAGTCACGTGACTTTCCAATAAAATCGATTTTAAAGCATAAAAGACGCTCTATTCACACTTTCCTTTAATATAGTTTTCAACTTACTAACGTTTCTCATTTCGATTTACACATCCAACAATAAAAACAAAAAAATGCAATAGGTGGTCAGCTATGATGGGTCACGTGATGTAATGAAATCATTCAATTTTCAGTCATTCTATAGCGTTTGCAACCTATGTAACATTTCCCATGAACTAGGATTTTTCATGTAAAAAGAATGAACTTTCTTCTACTTGGCCACACGGTTTAAGCCAGAAATACAAGCTTATAAACCATAAGCAAAGTATCTTATGCGACACAAGACCACCATGTGACTTCCACCTTATCAAGGTTATAGGTCATGCTTCATTCGCCTCTGCTGCAGTGTTCCTGTCGTTTCTGCACCCGTCGCCACATTTACATGCCTTGGAGCAGCAAAGAGATAGTTGAACGCAAGTGCAGCGTCGGTTTACACAGCATCCGCCTTCTCGGGAGCACCCACAGTATGCTAACTGCAAACACGCCGCTAACACTTTTTCTCGTGTCATTAACTTTTGCTTCAGAAGGCCTTCACTGTAGTACTGGCATCCGCTGTCTTGAGGCTTTGGGAGAGAAGGACATGGTTCCAGCGCTTTATTCCATACCATGGTCTGATAGTTTGCCCGCTTTATGTGGAGAATCACACTCACCAAATGCTTTATTTGCATGACCATAAAGGAATTACAGTATTGCAAAAACTATTAGTCAAAATTTAAGTAGTAATTCAACTAATTATTACGTGCAAAACATTACAAAACGTTACAGTTCTCATTCATTCAGTCATTGATATTAATTTGGTTCTTAATTCAAAGCATTGCGAGATGAATGAAACTAATTGACAGTTAATTAAATAATCAGAAGAATTCATAAGAAGAGTTATTAAAGTATCGTGTGAA